CAATAGTATAAACCATCCAGTATTCCTGCAAAGAAACAGTTGATTTTTATTCTACTAGTATGGGACAGATATTTCAATAACTATGCAAACAACATTAAAAAAAAGACTTGGAAAAGACTGGAATTACATGAGAGGAAGCAAAACCCTTACAGCTTGTTGAAACAGTTGGAGAAAAATTGCAATGCAGCATAGGAGGACCTTAAGAATGTGGTAGAGTCTCTACCTTCCATGTCATTCAGGAATTCAGGTTATGTTTCTATGACAGATATTTTTCTTATTCTTGCTAAAGAGAGTACAATTATGTAGCTTTGTAGATTAGGCTTCCCTTCAGACCATGGTAGAATAGAATAGAATAGAATAGAATAGAATAGAATAGAATAGAATAGAATAGAATAGAATAGAATAGAGTTCTGGAAGGGACCTTGGAGGTCTTCTAGTCCAGCTATTATTCTGAAAATGCATTGGATATTTTTTGCTACCTCTGTTTTTATGAGACTGCTTATATCTGATCTTTCCCCCTGTTAAAATTTCCATCAGAATAAATTATGCAAGGCCATATCTTACCCCAATAGGAATCTCTATCTATTTCAAATGCATTCCGACACCAACAATATGGGATCCAAGATATTAAAAAAGTTTATAATACAAGCTTTGTATAAAATAAAGCTCACAAAACTCCCATTATCCAGTTCCTTGTTAATACAAACATATACCATTTCAGACAAGGGACTGTCTAATGTCTTCTTAAAAATCTCCAGTGATGGAGCACCCACGATTTCTGGAGGCAAGTTGTTCCACTGGTTAATTGTCCTCACTGTTAGGAACTTTCTCCTTAATTCCAGATTGCTTCTCTCTTTAGTCAGTTTCCAATCATTGCTTCTTTTTTCTTTTTAATGTTTTATTGATTTTTAACAATTACAGTCTTTAGTGCTTAGTAAACAACATGTTGTGTGGGTTCACATATTAACATTAACTTCTTCAATGTAAATCTGTTCAGTACTGCACAATTCAGTGTTTTTTTTCTGATCCTCCTTTCTTCCCCATATTTTTTCCATTTTCCCCTCATTACATAATTACAATTCTTGCTACTGTTGATGTAAACAAAATTAAATATAAACATCCTCATCATATTTTACTAATATTATACAAATAACAATATCAATTCATAAATTAATATCATGTTTTCCATGTTCTTGTTAAAGTTTGATTTTCCATCAATATTTGAAATATATTTGTCAGTTATGATTTTCTCAATATTAATTACATTTATAAAGCTAAGAATTTTATTCATACCAGCCATTCTCTTATTTTCATATTTCCCATATCAAAAAAGAAAGAAAGAATGCTATTTTAATTCTAAATCATATCTTTCATTATAAAAGTCTAATTATATCTAAGGATCATCCATTCTTTTAATCATATTCAAACAGATATTTAATCCTATAATGCCCCCTCTAATAGGTCAAATCTTCTGTTTTTAAAGTCTAACTCTCTAAGACAAGTTCCCTAAATACAAGTCTTGTCTAGTCTCATAAATCTTAATAAGGGTAGAACAAAGTTTCATCTAGTTTTCTGGTCTTTATGTGCAGCCTTTATAATCCAATAGATTCCAGAATATGGGTCCAGTCCTAAAAACAATATTTTGTAGTGATCCTTTCTCTCAGGCATCCAAGAATTGTCAGTCAGGCAATATTCAAAGTGTTCAAAATGTTCAACCACTCTGAAAACAGTTCAAAAGTCTCTCCCAGCCAGATGTAGTCAAAAGTCATTTTTTTCTTTCTCTCCCAATAGTTCTTGAAATTAGAGGTCCAAGTTCAATAGGTGTTTATAATCCAAGAAGGTCAGGGTGATAAGTATGCCAAAATATTTCTCTTTATTGCCAGCTGTTCTCCATTAAGTTAGGAGTCACCAAGCAGCCAGGAAGCTAGTTGTAGTGCTATATTCAAATCCACCACTAGATTTCACTCAAAATCAATTTTCCACTCTTAAAACAAAGGGTTGATTTCTTATATTTCACCTCAATGTTTTTTTTCAAAGAGAAAATCTTAACAATTATCTCAATTCTCAAATTTATCCAAACTGTAGCTTTATGTTACTTCCACTTCAGTATTATGTATTTCTGTCCCCCATGAAAATTAAAACATTGCTTCTGTTCCTCTGGAAGGATTGGGCTATCCCCTTCCTTCTCACATTCAGAGGTTTTTATCTTCTTGGGAGCCTTTCCCAGGAAATTCATTTGTAAAATAGTAAAGAAAGGATCAATATTCTCACCCAGTTCCAAACATGCTGTTTACAAACTGCTAATTGATGCTTTTTTCCTTCGGTTGTCAGTGGCTAATGGCTGGCCAAATGTAGCCAGTCTTTCCCCTGCCAGTTTGGAGGGCTTTCCTCAGATTGAACGGAAAGACCACCATCTCTCCATGATCGACGAGGCACCCTTCCTTCTTCATGGCCTGTTCAGGGTGACTTTAGGTTCTTTTAGGCCCGCAGCAGGGAGAAATCGGACGTAGAAGGCAGAGCCCTACCTCCCTTCATCCATCTCGCTGCAATGCCAAACCAGAAGTCTTCCAACCATTGTTTCTTGTCCTGTCCTCACATTCTGTGCATATGCTTAATTGAGCATAAAAGGAAACACAGTAAAGCACAAAGCAGAAATCCAAATGTAATGTTACTAATTAATTAATAAATTAATGACAAAATTGGTTGAGTGGCTATAGAAATTGAATGAATGAATGAATGAATGAATGAATGAATGAATGAATGAATGAATGAAATAATTCATGCCTAGAAAAAGACATTGTGGCTTTCCCAATTGGTAACAGGCATATTTTGCATAAATGTCACAGAAGCCAGTAATGTCAATTATGAGCACACCCAAATGATAAATATACTGAAGGATTACAACCCAGTGTAGAAATTTATCATTTCCTCTACTCAAGAATTACCCAGAGTGTTCTTCGGGTTCCACTCTTTTTCTAGCCTTCCCCTTGTATAACACCATATATGTCAGAAAATAGATGCCAGATGCAGAATTACAGTTAATCATTGTACTATATTTGCAAACCATCCCTGCAAGTAGAAGCACCACCATAAAATTCCTTCAATTCTCAATCCATGAAGACATTCCAGAAAAAAATGGTATAGCTAAATGTATCAGAGATTGCTGATTAAGCATGATCGGTAAACTTGCATTCAGCGGCTTTTTCCAAGTATGTATTAGTGCAACCATGAAAGATTTTGTCCAAAAACTAGATTGAAATGGAGTTGAAATCATCTCTGTTCATCAGGATAACCTGCAGAGATTCAGCATAGGTATGAGAGTTTCATACAGACAAAAATATGAGTGATCTGTTGCAGAAACAAGGGACAGACAGAACTGTATCTTTAAGCAACACATTCTGTAGGGAAAGAAACCAAAAAAAGGTACAAAAGGGTTTGAATGTTGATTCTATAAATACGGCTTAGTCTTGAAACATTGCTCTGCTGGAATTCTTTCACTATGACTTTCTATTTTTTTTTTTTTTTTAAGAAAAGTGTTTATCTGAAGTTCTTTGATTCTTCTGAGCTTATGGTTCCAGTTCTCTGTGGAGTCAAGCCTGACAATAACCCCCTTAAGCACATTGCCCAGAAAAGGCTATTTGTGATGAGCAGTATTTGTAATAAATCTCTGGATTATTGGGATATAAAGAATTCAATGAAACAAGTTAAGTAAGTTCTACGGTTCAATCTGATTTGCTTCCATTGAGGTATACAGGAACTAATCTGCTGTATTACACCTAGTAATAATCCAGAGCCAACAGTACAGCTTTATTTCTCCAGACTCTGATATTCCACCAAACAGTTGTTCAAGGAGCTATCTGAATACATAGGATCTCTTACAGACATATGTTTTCTGCAGTTCTGCAGTTAATATAAATACAATTAAATAGTAGGCTAAATAAAAGAGAGTTTTTCCCATTTTCTCCCAGCAGTATGTGATACCATCGGAGAGGGAAATTTTTGTTATCACTGACATGGGGCTTATGTATAATGTGTGTAATAGAGGAAGGAGTATGTAAGCTAGAAACCCTGATCACAATCATGCTGCCTTTGGCCTTGATTATTAGTGAGGTCTCAATCTACCATCTACTGCTGCCTAAGAATCTCAGAAACAAACCATTGCCAACTCCTTTGAGTTAGTTCAACATGGAAGTCATTCATGCAATGTAGATCTTGGTCTCCATATTCTTCTCTAATATTGCATAAATATTAACTGGTACGTCTAGCTAAGACACTAATTCTAAAAAAAAAAGTATGTCAAAGCAAATCTTATCAGCTTTATAGCTACAGCTGATGAGAGAAATGAAATGTAAAAAAGAAGTTGTAAGATATATTTATTGTGCTAACTCCTGGCAAATTCAGTTTCAGTTCAACGTGCTTTGAAATACTTTCTACCAAGTTTTTATGAACACCTACCAGTGTTTCGAGCACTCGTGTCTTTATTTTCTCCAGCCAACTTACCAAATATAGAGGATGTTTATTTGAAGATTAAATCTCAGAATATAAACATCAAATAATACAATTTCATATTTTTTAGAAATGAACAGATTCTGGTCAGGCTTTATTTCTAAATTATCTTAAATGATATATGGTTAGCGCGTATGTGGTTGCCATCAGAAATTTATAAAGTTATAAAATTAACATTATGAAAATTTACAAAATTAGCATTGGCAATACAATGTCAGTCCTAAAGTACATAGGCATACAATAACAAATTTCTAATATCCTAAAATAATACATTCATGTCTGTTAAATCCTATGAAAGACTCATAAACTTCAAAGGACCAACTGGGATTTGTGATTAGCATATGGACTGCAAATTATTGCTTGATTTATTTAGACCAGTGTTTCTCAACCTTGACAATTTTAAGGCATGTGGACTTCAACTCCCAGAATTCCACAGCCAGCATTGCTGGCTGTGGAATTCTGGGAGTTGAAGTCCACATGCTTAAACTTGTCAAGGTTGAGAAACACTGATTTAGACGTACAAAAATAATGGTTTGAAATGTATTACTAGATGTTTTTCATTAAAATACTAGTACAGGTAGTCCTCAGCTTACAACCATTCCTTTAATGACTGTTCAAAGTTACAATGCCACTGAAAAAAGTGACTCATGACCAGTTCTCACACTTATGACCGAGGCAGCATCCCTTCAGTCAATGATCAAAATTGGGGTGCTTCTCAACAGGTATGTATTTACGATGGTTGCAGCATTTTTGGGGTCCCGAGATTCTCATTGCAACCTTTCTGGTGAACAGCTGATCAGCAAAACCAATGGGGGGAAAAACCAGATTTGCTTAACCACATGATTCCCTTAACAACTGTAGTAATTTGCTCAACAATCATGGCAAAACAGGTCATGAAATGCAGAATGACTCACTTAACAACTGTCGTATTAGCAGCAGAAATTTGAGGCTCAATTGTGGTCATAAGTCGAGGACAGCCTGTATTAATACTTGATTGGCCAATGTATACTTTAAACTGAAATGTTTTAAATGTCACATTTGGTAAAACATTAATTTTTAACTCCAACTGTCCATGGTAAAATATGATTTTAAAAATCATTGTTACAGGAATATTCAATCAAAATGTGTTACATTAAGTCAGGGGTAAAATATGATTTTAAAAATCATTGTTACAGGAATATTCAATCAAAATGTGTTGCATTAAGTCAGGGGTAAAATATGATTTTAAAAATCATTGTTACAGGAATATTCAATCAAAATGTGTTGCATTAAGTCAGGGTAGGTAACCTTGGCTCTTTTATGGGCTCAGGAATTCTGGGAGTTGAAGTCCACGAGTTATAAAAGAGCCAAGGTTGCCTACCCCTGCATTAAGTCATTGCTAAATTCTGTGTCGCACTAAGTTGTTCATAGCAGCTATGTGGATAAAGGTCAGTATTTCCTGTTCACAATAACATTACAAATGCACACCAGAGCTCTTTAGTGTATATTGTAAATTCCTTTAAACCACAGTACTTATCAGTCAAACAGTAATTAAGGCTGAAATCACTTTAGTGTACAGCAATGCAAAGTTCTGCAAAATGAATGCATTACAACCATCTACTCTGGTTAGAAGACAGTTTGTTTCCTTAAACTTCACTACAGGCCTCTGGGGCAATTTGCATTTCGGTGGGCATCTAAAGCCATTGGATCAAATGTATTGTGGTTTATCAGATCTCTCATTTTGTCTCTAAGGCCATAGGAGGCTCTGGCTATTCTCCTAGAGTCTTCAACAGCTGCGTCCTTGTACCTTAGAAGCTGATTGCTTTTCAGATCTTTTCTTCTTAAAGCCTCTTGCAATTCCCGCAGGTGGCATTTTTCATCATACTCGAGCTTCTGTTTACGGCAATGGTGATTCCTTTCCTTGGCACTATTAATTTCTTTTATATGTTGTGCTCTGTCTTGCATATTTTTGGTCATGATTTCCCTGGCCTGCTGTATCTTCATCTCAGCTATTTGCAACAACATCTCCTTGCGCCTTCTCTTTTCCTCCTCCGTCTCTTTAGCTCTAGCCTTCGCCACTAGGCCTTGCTCTTCATCCTTGTATGACTTTTCTTTCAGTTCTCTATTCCTTTCTTCAAGCAGCTGCTCAAGGATTTCCTGAGACCTCTGAAGCTTTTGTTCAATGCAAAGCCTCTTGTACAACTCATCAGCTTTCAGCTTGTCCTCGACTGGGTCTTTCATTTGCATGGGCTTGAGTTTCTTATAGTCATTCAGGTCTACTTTTCTCTTCTTCCTTTCCATTTCCTTTATAAGCCTCTTCTCCAGGGCCTGCAGCATCTTCTCTTTGCATGCATGAGAGTTCTGATCTTTGACATTTCGGTCCATCATCCGTTTATCCCAGAGTTGCTTTTCTTGGCAACGTTTCCTATACTCAGCCTGAAGCCTGGCATTTTCAAATTTCTCTCTACGTCTACACTCCTGCTCTTTAGCTAGCTTCTTCCACTTCTTGTCACGCAACAATATATCCCTCTCCCTAGCGGCCATTAATTGCTCTTCGTCTAACTTAACCTTGGCTTTTCTTTGATCCCGGTCCCTCTGCCATTGGTCCATATTGTCTGCCAGCTGGTATTGCCTCTCCTTTTCCAACTTCGCTTTGTGCTTCTTCTCCTTCCGCCTCATCTTTTCCCAGGCCTCAGAGACCTGGAGCTGCCTGTCCTTCATCTCTTCCTCCTCCTGATGCCTAGCTAACATCAGAGCAGCAAGCTTTTTGTCCCTTTCTGGAATCATCTCCTCGTATCTCTTCTCAGTCAGATCCTGGAGGCTGATCTGAGGGTCTCCCTTCTTGCTCTTGTGGTGACTGTGGTGACGGTGATGATGTGAATTGTTGTTAGGGGGCAAATAAGCCATTGGGTCTTCCTCCTCATACTGTCTCAAGGAATGCATCAGGTCTACCAAGCTGGGGCTGCTTTCGCAGGGCTCCTGCCAATCCCTTCTTTTGGTTTCCTTCTTCTCAAGCTTGGGAGAAGCTTTGTTGTCCATCTGAGTGAAGGAAAAAGAAGACGGGCAGACTGACGGTGGCTTGCTGACGTCGGTGGGAAAGTCGGTTCCATATTCCAGAGCTCTAGTCACAGGACTGGCCCATTGGTCGTCCCGGAGCAGCTCCTCCACCCGGGTGCACCGGCCTGCCGGGGAGCGGCCGGGCAGCTCGTGGTGGGGCTGGAAATCTCCGCCGTAGAGGGTGGTACAAGAAGTGGTGCAAGGAGTAGCGCAGCCCTCGCCGGCCGGAGCGAGGTAATGATGCTGCTGCGGCAAGGTGGGGCGGCGCAGGCGGGCCGAAGCGGCGGTGGCGATGGCTGGAGCCTTAGCGTGCGGGAGCGAAGCGCCCCTGTACTTGCCTTTGCGCGGCAACAGCATTCCGCCTTCGTCGCGGTACATTTGCGCCAGCTGGAGGCGCCCAAGGCAGCCCTCGCCTCCCGCCGCTTCGGGCTCCGAGCTGTAAGCCGGGTCCGGGAAGCACTGCGGCGGAGAGAACCGGCCGGGGCTGATTCGCCGGCGCGTCATCTCTTGCTGGGTCTCGCTGCCCGACAGACTGCAGCAGGACACGACGGGCGGCTTCTTCCGGCCCTTGTTGGTGCTGGGCGCGCCTCGGTCGCTCGGGTAGACGCGCCACCTGCTCTCCGCCCCAAGACACTGGCCCGTCCCCCGCCGCGGCCGACGCCGCTGCTGTTGCCGCTTCATGGCCGAAGTGGCCTGCCCGCTGCTCACGCAGCGCCTTGCGCAGCACAGTGAAATTGAGCGCGCGTCACAATGGGGGACACGGGGTCCCTCCTCCTCCTGGAGTCCATTACGACGCGGGGCCACAATGTGACCCTGCCCCACTCGCCCTTAGCTGGCCCTGCTTTCTCTTCTACCGAGGGAAAAAAAGACGGCGCGAGGGTTCCAGGCTCTAGAAGTTAGCTAGAATCAGACGTTCTAGTGGCGCAGTGGTTCTCCGGATCCCAGCGGAACTCCAGCTTCCCATAAGATTAGTGGAATGGGACACTAAAGTACCACGTGGAATCCCATCTCTTGTTAGATCAGAAGCCCAGATATTTTGATTCAAATGCAAACTAGAATACCACAAGCCCATTTCGGAATTTTCATTAAATATGGTGGTTCTTCCAGAAAGAATATGGCATTCCCTGAGAGAAACTGTCACCGGAGCTTTCATGAAACAACTTAGTTGTCTGAGACGTTACCTATTCACCAAAAAAAAAAAAAAAAAAAAAAAGGCTCCCCAGGGTAGATGTTACAAGATATAAAATAAATAAATAGAATGTTTTTAAAAGGCATAGCTGCAGAATTTTTGTATAAGTAGAAGACAGGAATAAATTCCAGGAATCCTAATATATTTTTAAAAGCATTTATTTATTAAAATGATTTGTGTGCTGTTTACTCAAATTACTCTAAGTGCAGGGTTATATTAAAACATCTACAAAATCCACTAATAGTAATATCTTCCAATTTTTTAAAAAATAAATGCCATCTTTCATTAAAACTTACTTCTCCAAACCCCTACAAATGATGAAGTGGCTGTGCCATAAGACAAATGACTAAACTAGTGAAATTAAATGGCAGAAGGGAACCAGTGTGGTATAACAGTTAAGGCATTGGGCTGGCATCTGGGAATCCCCCCTTAGCCATGAAAGCTGATTGGAGTTATCTCAGTCTTCCTAACTGAGGGAGTGTGGAGGAGGTGGAAGGGAGCCTGGTAAAAAATCTAACAATAATCCATTCTACTTGTGTATGTGAAAATCTCTGTCAAATATGGGTACATTAGCTTTTCTCAAAAATCGGATTTTTGTGAGTGTGCAAATGCACCTGTGAGCATTTCCTGTGTATGTATGATCATTAAAAACTCATGAATTGACAACATTTGCAAAAAACAATGACACCTCAGGATCATCTGTTAATTTAATACAAAAATATGTGATATGTTGGGACAAGTGCTCATAAGCAGAGTTTACCAGCAATTGGAGGAATATTTTCTTTATTTTTGTTTCATAACCCAGATTCTTTCATTAGCTAAACATGTTACAAGAATTGGTTCCTTCAGTAATAATTTCCAACAATGGGAAGTTCAGCAAAATACAGGTGTATTGTAAGAAAGAGAGTGATGGTTACATACAAGTGATACCTAACCAATAATCTGCACTTGAGCAATATTCATTCATCTGGTGGGATCGACAGTAGAATTCTAAGCTCCATGATTCTGGAGGACCAATCAATTAATTTATACACCTCACTACATAAAAACTGCTCTTCCATCATATTGTTGAGACTTGTTTCTTTTACCATTAGAGCTAATGCAACTAACACAGCTATGGTGAATTAGTGCTGTAAAAAAGTCCAGTGTTAGGTAAAAGTAGTAACAATAACAACAACAACAACAACAACAACAACAATAATAATAATAATAATAATAATAATAATAATAATAATAATAATAATAATAATAATAATAAAATTTGGAAGGTACCTTGGAGGTCATCTAGTGCAACCCTCTGCTCAGGCAGGAAATCCTATACCATTTTGGACAAATGGCTGTCCAGTCTCTTCTTAAAAACCTCCAGTGTTGGAGCATTCACCACTTCTGGAGGCAGATTGTTCCACTGGTTAATTGTTCTAACTGTCAGGAAGTTTCTCCTTAGTTCTAGGTTGCTTCTCTCCTTGATTAGTTTCCATCCGTTGCTTCATGTCCTGCCTTCAGGCACGTTGGACAATAGCCCCTCGTCCTTCTCTTCATTAAACTAGACATACCCAATTCCAGCAGCTGGTCCTTATATGCTTTAGTCTCCAGTCCCCTAATCATCTTTGTTGCTCTTCTCTGTACTCTTTCTAGAGTCAACATCTTTTTTACATGGTGATGACCAAAACTGGATGCAGTATTCCAAGTGTGGCCTTACTAAGGCATTGTAAAGCCCTCCCTAAGTTTATTGAAATTAGCTCTCTTGAAGTCCAAGACTCTAGTTTGACTGTGTTCTATTGCTTGTGCTTCCATAATGTTGAATTCCAATATTGCATGATCACTTCCTCCCAGGGTTCCTATGGCTTCAACACCTTCTATCATTTTATCTCTGTTAGTGAGAATTAGATCCAAAATGGCCAATCCCCTAGTTCCCTTCTCTACCTTTTGGGAGACAAAGTTGTCTGCTAGGTTTGTCAGGAATCTGTTTGATCTTCCACTTGGTGCAGAGTTTGTCTCCCAGTTGATGTCAGGGTAGTTAAAGTCCCCCATTACTATTGTGATGTGCTTCCTACATACCTTAGTTAGCTGACTAGCAAAAAGTTAATCTATTTCCTCTGTTTGATTGGGTGGCCTGTAGTATACACCTATGGCAATGTTATTTAGACTGATTCTTTAGGGGAAAGGACTAGCCTCTTTAAAGGAAGCTATCAGTCTTTTTTGTTTACTTTTGCGACTTTTTGAGAATTTGCAAAGAATTTTAGCTGTTTTTATTTCATTAAAGTAACATTATTACCCTAGATATGGATGTCAGTTTTATTCCTACAACTTGTGAAATGTTCCTGTTGATTTGAGTTCTTTTCTCTCACAACCTTTCTTCTTTTTGTCTAATCCTGTTTCTGTGATGACCCAGGGCACAGAGGCAATACAGTCAGCTGGCAATTCAAACTGCCCTTTAATTGCTCCAAATTTTCCCACCTTTCTGGCAAGCCCCAGAACAGAGTAAGACACACACACCTTCAGCAGCCTCTGTTGCTGTTTCATATACAGTTAGATTAGAAGAGTAATTTACTCAAGGCCACGTAGATAACAAGGAATGAAACATACATCCAAAAGCTAATGAGTCTGTGGAAATACAAGCTTGTCTGAACAGTTTCAGAAGAAAAGCCAAAATATAATCCAAGGTCTTTGAGCACAAATCAAGTTTGTCAGCCAGTCCAATAGTCAGAGTTTCAGGGTTTCCAAGCAGAAATCACAACACAGAACAAGAGATCAGAGAGTTGTTTCCAAGATCAGCAACAGCACACAAAACTCCAAGAAATCAGCATTTGTTCCCAACAAATGCCCCTCCCCACAGCGTCTCCTTAAGTCTCAGTCTCCAGGTGTGCCTTGTGGAGAGAGGCAGGATGCTCTCCTCCTGAGTAGTTGAGCCTGTCTGTGTTGTTCCCTCCTTCTCTCCACTCTCCATGCTCTAAGATCAGGAGGGAGTGGCCCTTGCTCATCGCCTGAATTGTCTTTCATGTTCATCCTGTCCCAATCCGGAAAGGCCCTGTCTTGGCCTGCTCTTCTCCACATTCCTCTGACGTCACAGACACTTCTCCCTTGAATTCCATAGGGTCCTGTGTTCCAGCTCATTTTCTTCAGCAGATTCAGGCTCTGACAGAGGCATGACAGTATCTATTTGCTCAATTTCACTTCTGAAGTATAATGTTCACCCAGCGATCCTATGTATCTTGCTTGTTCAATTTTGCATTAAAATTGTAAATCAAAGGTAAGGAAAATGCTTTTGGAGGTGAATAAGAAGGAAATATTCTCTAGAGACTTCAGCAGAGAGTCCTAAGGAGTCAATGAAAGATCATACATTTGGGAGGAAATTGGTCAATTTTCTCAATTCTCTATCCTGGAAATCTTAGTTAAATCACAGCATAGTTTTTGAGTATGTTATGTTTACTCTTTCACGGTTTTTCCTCTGCTGAAATTTCATTCTAAGAAAAATGTGGCTGTTCTATGCATTTTTTAAAAGACACAATTTCTAAAAAAAAATCCAGTGTCAAAAATGAGCCTTTGGTTACACAGTTTTTCTCCTCATTCCATAACGTCCTCATAAATTATTTGAAAAGAAGAAAGGACAGTGCCATCTGCAGCCTTGCAACATTTGTCTGTGAAACTACATATGTTACCCCCATATGTTTTCTCTCCTAAATTAGGGATTTTTGAATTTACCCCTGGAAGCAAGAGCTCATGTAGCTCCGGCAGAGATTTTTTCGAGCATGAATATCTAAAGAAAGTAGTGTCAAAGTGTCAAAGCATTATGAAAAAAGAATGAGAGCATGTAGGCAATATCTGCACATCTTAGAATTGCTACGGTTGAAAAATACTTTTGTAGACTCCTTCCATCCCCTATAAACACTACTGTATCTTTTGTCGGTAGATATTATTTGTATTCTAATATATGTGTGTGTGTGTGTGTGTGTGTGTGTGTGTGTGTAAAATGGATATAAACAATAGCCCCAAATTGACCTTCTTGGAATATTTATTTACAGATAGTCCTCAACTTATGACGACAACTGAGCCCAACATTTCTGTTGTTCAGTGAGATATTTGTTGAGTTTTGCCCCATTTTACAACTTTTCTTGCCACTGTTGCTAAGTGAATCACTGCAGTTAATAAGTTAGTAACCCGGTTGTTAAATGAACCTGGCTTCCCCATTGACTTTGCTTGTCAGAAGGTTGCAAAAAGTGATCCCGTGACCTTGGGACATAGCAATGGTCATAAATGTGAACCAGTCCCCAAGCAACTGAATTTTGATCACACGATCATGGGGAAGTAGCGAAAATCGTAACTGAAAAACGGTCATAAGTCACATTTTTTCAGTGCCATTGTAACTTTGATCATTAAATGAACTGTTGTAAATCAAGGATTATCTGTATTTATTTATTTATTTATTTATAAATTTATTTACCACTCAACTCATTTCAAAGCAACTCTGGGTGGTTACAACATAAAAACATTAAAAATCATTAAATATAAATATACCCAATAAAATCATAATATAAATAGAATTAAATCATTTACACAAGATGGAGAATGAGGCAGCCAGATGCATGGGGTGAGCGGAGGTGGTGTTATCTCTTACTTAACCACCTGGAATTTGAAGGTCTCCTACTGGGGCCCCAAGCCATCTGGCAGAGCCAGTTCTTAATATAGGCCTTGTGACCATCCTGCCTGACTGGAACACTTTTGCTGCCCTGAATCGTGGACTTAATAAACTGACTCTGGGTTTAGATTCCTGATCTCTGCTTGAGAATTTGCTTTTTACTTTCTGATTGCCTCTGGCTCTTGCCAAAATGGGCCTGTCAGTCAGTGCGCAGGGTTATAACAGCTGAATTGAGCAGCATATCTAACTAGGATGTTT